AACTCCAGTTAATTTGCTAACAAGCCATTCAAAAGGGCTAAGAGGCGAAATTGTCCAACATCCAATGTTGCGAGCTCTAGGCAACGCTCTCTTCCGCTGAGTTAACAGTTTTCAACAACGAATACTTGTCTGCTCAGTGAGAGCGTCTCAATGACCATCTCCAGCTCTGACTTGTACTGTCCGGTCGAGGCCATATGCTGACGATTGGAAAGATTCTCCTTACCATCACGTAAATAAGTTAGAAGGGAAGAGAAGAAATCTATAAACGACCCTCCTCAACAATAGAAGAGTAGATTTTACGATTGCGTAACTCGTACGTAGTTGTTTTATACAACCACAACTGCGGCGGCCCGTGAGGACTTTTGAAGCAGCTGCTTGGCAAAATCCCCATCAAGCAGCATCGTATTATGAACGTGGATAGACTGAATCCTAAGTTCCGTCGTTCTCCATAAGATACACTGTCCTTGCCCTTATTCTCACCGCGTTCATTCTCTAGCTCTTGTGCAACAATTGTATTTCAACGCCTCGAAGTCAGTCCGAAACTCAACGAAGGCTAGCGGTATCGATACTCTCATTAATTGCCTTGAAAAAATGTGCCGGATCCTTCAGGATAACGTAAAATAAGGAATTTCTGAAATTTCATCTGATCGACAGTGCACCCATCATGCTGAAAGTTAGAGAACAACTACTTTTGAATAAATAAATAAATGGTTAAACGGTATATCCCTGAGATCTATACGAGCATCCCGGCTGATGATGTATCCATTTATACACAAACCCAAACACTGCAAACTTGATGCTGTAGCATATCTTGTCCACACAACAGCATCTGCATTGTGTACGAGATGCAAAAACTAGGTGGCTCCTCTTCCTTGATTACTCGCAATTACGGAAAGGTTCAACCCACCATCTGAGAATAGTGTTCAATCAGTAGTGTGCAACCTGATGAGCAACTATTTCACAAATTTTGCGCAAGGTAAGAAAATGAGCATATAATGCCCTGAGACTCAAAATGCTTTCAGTACCCTTCTCTGTAATTTACGAATTCGTGAATGCATACATACTCCCCCCTCACTAGTTGTACTGTCCATGTTTCCTGGACTTCTCCTAAAAGAGTTTACAGTGCCACGAAGCGCATCTTCACGTTCAGTGAATTTCACTGTTACCAGATATTTCGGTGCATGTAATAATTTTCACCCATGCACATCGATGTGTCAACTGATCTTTCCTGTTCGTCTACACGCTCCTAATTCAGGGCTTTGTTTTATCGCATAGCATTATGTCATAACACTATGTTAGCGGATTTATCGCATTTTTCTCGTGGGCTCAAACAAAGTTACCAATGCCATCTGTGAACTCAAGTGACATACATGCAGGTTTTATGTTATTTCAGCTTATGTTTTTAAGGTGAAAGTAACATCATGCCACATTACATTTGCAGAGCCAATCGGGTGTAAAAAGCTTATTTTGACTTGAATTGAAATAGTCGGCAAATCACCGGCATTTGATACAAAGATAGAAGGCTTTCGAAGCAAAGCGCTTTGCCAAGCTTCATATGGAACAAAAAGGTGACCACTAGGCACCGGTGACTACAAGATAGTGCAGTTAACTTCTGACAATCGGGATTCGGTTGGGTCATGATGGACTGCCTGTGTAGCGAACTAGCTTAGTTCGTACATAGCATGTCAATCCCAGAAAAACCTGCGTGTGTGTGTGCTGTCCGCTGAGTTCACATCTTCCTGAGTGTTCTTGCTGACAGGTCAGCTAATGACATGACAAACAGGTATAACAAAGCTGATCGGAACGCCTTATCTTGATTTCAAACATAAATGCTAAACCTGGTCGTTCAACGAGTGGCGTTGGTCTTCGGATCAGCAAGGCCAAGTTGCTAAATGCGTTTTAAAAATGGCTCAGTGCTATGTGAGCGCTCTGCGATGGTGCCTCCATGAAGTGGAACCACAGGTAGCTGCGTACGTGGATCGGGACAAAGCAAAAGCGGGGACTTAAAGTCCAGACGTGAATAGTTCAAGCAAAACGCCTGTCTAACTAAACAACGTGTTGAATATTTGTTTCTGATAAGTTCTAATACCGTTTCACTCCTGTAATTCATTCGAAAGCAATGCGCCAAGAACGGGGATGATAATTACAAAACTGCATTACCGCGCTTGTAAAGATAAGCTATTCGAAGGCAAGTAATTTCATGGGTGGTGTACGAGGGTCATTCAATAAATAAGGTGAACGTTTCGGTAAAAGGACTTCTAATACGGATAGAAGCTTACTCTTCGTTTATTTTTGTTGTTTTACTTCTTTTTCACATAGATGTGATTTCTTTTGCAGATTGAAAAGAACTTTGAGATTTGTAACGATTACCAAAGATGGCCGACCAAGAAGCATGCTCCAGGATTGAACAGCGGTCTGTTATCAAGTTTCTGGTTGCCGAAGAGTGCAAACCAGTTAAAATTCATAGGAGAACGTCAACTGTGTATGGTGTCACATGTTTCAGCCGAAAAAATGTCTACAAGTGGGCAAAATTGTTTAAAGGACGGAGCAGTGTTGAGGATGAAGACAGGTCTGGGAGGCCTAGAGAAGTGAGGTCTCCTGAGGTGATCGAATCAGTCAATGACCTCATTCAGTCGGACAGAAGGGTGACAGTGGATGGAAGTGACAATTTTGTGTGCCGCCCCAACAGATAAGCTCAAAGTCCTTGCAATGTCAACCACGGTCACCCTTCTGTCCGACTGAATGAGGTCATTGACTGATTCGATCACCTCAGGAGACCTCACTTCTGTAGGCCTCCCAGGCCTGTCTTCATCCTCAACACTGCTCCGTCCTTTAAACAATTTTGCCCACTTGTAGACATTTTCGCTGAAACATGTGACACCATACACAGTTGACATTCTCATATGAATTTCAACTGGTTTGCACTCTTCGGCAATCAGAAACTTGATAACAGACCGCTGTTCAATCCTGGAGCATGCTTCTTGGTCGGCCATCTTTGTTAATCGTTACAAATCTCAAAGTTCTTTTCAATCTGCAAAAGAAATCACATCTATGTGAAAAAGAAGTAAAACAACAAAAATAAACAAAAAGTAAGCTGCTATGTGTATTAGAAGTCCTTATACCGGAAAATTCACCTTATTTATTGAATGACCTTCGTAGAACCGTGTCGGACGCATTCGTAACAAGCCCACCAAGGTCGTTGTGGCTACCACCCGATATATGTTAATATCACAGCCGACTATGTGGAAAGCCAGAACTCGTATCGTCCGATATTGAAATGATGGCTATGCAGATGCATTAATGAAAAACTCATTATCTATGCAATTACTCGGTACGACAGAGAGATCCTGAGCACAATTCATAAGCTCATTACGCATGTGCCAACGTGTCAGCCAGACACCCGCCGCACACACGTCATGCTTACCAAGTCTGATTTCGAAAACATCGTCAAGGACCATAGGAAGCCCAATAAACGAATGTCGTATGGCTAATGAGGACAAACTAGTGGAAGCGCAACGCTTCTTGCATCATTTCAAAAAAAATTTTCATAGTGAAAATGAACTTATAGGCGTGAACAGAGCGAAATACGCAAGGTAGTTGAAACGCAAAAATCTGGTCTGCCTGTAAGAAGGAACCAAGTCAAACCAACTAAAGCGGTAAAATACGTTCGAATGGAAGATGATAGGTAGCGGAAAGTAAAAATCTGGATTTTTCTGATGTGTCCCGAAATCCTCAGCCAGTTAATTCAGCGGTAAAAAAGGCATCCGCAGTACGCCAGTACGGAGTACTGACGCTTCGTTGCCGCTCAATCAATAGCAAGATACCAATAAAGAACAATGGTGAGAACATGAGGGTGTATACAAATAGAGTACAGAGAAAACAGTGTTTAAAAGTGTGCAAAACTAATCAAGATGGAATGAAAACTAACAGCCAGATGGAAAGAAGTGAATATCGGAACGCCACTGACAGCGCGACTACGCCATATCTGAGAGTCTCCAACCACTGGTGTGGACTACGCTGAGGCCTACATCCACGAAGATGGCACGCAGCAGCCTGTTGTGGAGACCTCATGGTTCCACAAAACATCGCGCCAGTCACCTTTTCCCGTCCTGCAAATCATCAATGGAACGCTTACGCGAGGCATTATGGGCGACAACGTTACCAGTTGACAATGATCGCTGAAAACACTACTAGCTATCAATTATCGGTGACGATTTTATTGGTTGGTAACTCTCACTGCCTTACCACGAGGCAGTTACCAGGTCGCCGATTGCGTGATCCTCTTAGGGATACCGCTTTCGGGTGGTAATTACCTCATTCTATTTACCACCATTGTTTTAGTGCCAAGTGATAACCATGCCATGCTCACGATAACGAGGAAACAAGTAGTATAAGTACTCCGCTGTAAAAACCGTGTTGATCTTCATTGTGACCTTCGTCTTCGCCCGTCTTACTTGGGCAGTAAATGCTTCGTGGAAGGTTATTGTCTTCTTCCTCACTCCGAGCCGCGAGCAGTCGTGCCCAGCCAGTTGTGTCCGTGTACCAACTACCGCAAGCAGGCACTCAAATCCTAACGGCTTAACGACGGTCATCAGAGAAGCGCTCTCAAATCAACAGTCTCTTCGTGCATTTAATGTACGATTAATAAGATCCCATTAACCCTGCTTTGGTCCGGCCTGACCCTGAGTCTACGTGACCCCAGCCCACCATGGACCATGTTGCTGTAGCACACCACGCGATTGTGTAGCCAATGCCAAAAGTTACATTTTGCATACACTGGATGAAAACAAAATAATGTAATAAAGTGCTGTTATTCTGGTCATAAAGCATGTTTTTCACCATGGCGACAAACTGACTCCATGGTACCATAGCAGGGTTAAAGTAAATCTTGGTATGGGTGCATGATAGTCGCCATCTTTGATCAGTAAGAAAAAAGACCGAGTCGATTGGTGAGATTAGGGTCGCAAATGAACTTGAAAAAGGGTGGGAGTAAAACTGACCTTCGGTCCCAATTTGTATTGAAGTATTCGCCGCCTCGGAAGATGGTTGGGTTGCCGTAGTAGGCGACACATCGGCAGGAGATGGGCCAGTGGAATGTTTTGATTTCTTTGGAATCACAGTCACCCAAGAAGGATCAGTCTCTGTAGAAATCCCCACAGATAAATGCCCTTGTGACTCTTCAGTGCGATGGGATCGTTTTGTCTTTTTGGATTTCCGTCGCCCTATCGACAATTTGGGAACTTCACCGGTGGAGTGCTGCATGGGAAGCGAAACAATGGGTTCATCAGATGTCGCCTTGATATCTGCCAAGACGTTGGGTTGTTCTGGAACAAACTGGGAATGGAAAGACTCTGGAAGTGAGGAAGTAGCAAGTGGAGCAACGATAGGAGTGGTACGATTTTCGGAGGAACTGGTTTCCTGGACAGGAGTGGAAGGTTTCGGGGCCGGTTTAATTTCCCCATTGGGTACGATGTTAGGTTTGGGTTTGGCAGTCATCTTCGATGGCTTTCGTTTGACTGATTCGCGCATCGAATTAGGCAGGCTTTGGTCGTGTTTTAGCTTCTTGTTAGAGTTGTTGAGTAGATTGCTTCTGAAACCTAGCAAGACACTCACAACAACTGTGCCAAGGCCAACTGTGAGAGGCAAAACCAAGGAAGTGTCAAAGGAATCGCCTTCTGACCTGCTCTCGCTGAGGAAGGTGAACCAGTTGAGAGGATTCATCAGAAATGGTTCACCAAAGGCTGAAAAAACAAACGATGTGACTAGTGAGGTGGGGAAAAGATAAGAGAATAGAAACTGTGTTACATTCCGAAAAGCGAACTGTGCTACCATTACGGATTGTGTATAAATGTAGCGCAGCGAATTGGTATCCGCAGTGCACTAGAATTACGTAAAGAATCTGCACTATCACGCAAACAAAAGCGGCTGCACTTACGCAAGTGTGAACCGGCGGTCCGCAGATTACAAGTCAAACAACTGAACTACTCCGCCACCGGACTGTACCTAACACTGTAGAGAAATATACAGTATACTTATTTATTTATCTGCGCGATACGGTTTCACAGTGCCTCCTCATCGACCAAAAGCTGCTAGAAAGGAGACAGTGAGAAATCGAAAGGATGCTTAAGGTTTGAAATGTGGGGAAACGCTGCATAAAGAACATCCTCGTAGACGTTAGATCAAGGAACGTGGGAAAAGCAATTTAATTCAAAGTGCTACTTGCTCTTTCAAAGTTTCAGTGTGCCAACAGAATGAATGGAAGCAGCAGCATGTCTACACGCCTACCAAAGTGCATGCGAAGATTCGCAAAAGATGACAAAGCGCATAAGGTGACCACGGAAGTAGGTAAAAAAGAAAAAGGAAAGTCATCGGCAGAACGCCGGTACACTGTACGGGCGCTTCGATGCCACGCGACCACCACCAGTCGCGTGTGAGCTGAGTACACAGTCGCCCCTACACCGATACGAACCAGTGAGCCTTATGATTACAAACCAACAACAACAACAGCAGTACATCAGCCATTTGAACTGATGCTTCGCTGCCATACAACCATGAGGACCTAAGAAATGAAAAATAAGAAGCGGGAGAGAAGGGGGACTTACCTGAAAACTGTAATACCCTAAGAAACCCTCAGAGTCAAGGCGCCTACACCTTGTGTAGACAACATACCGTCACAAACAGCTAGCTATCGTGTAAAAATAAGGAGGCATCGACGATACAGCTTCCTTGCAGCTTGCACTGTCCCGCGCCATAATCAGCCATTACCCCGCAGATAACTCAGCACCAAACGCAATTTAAACAGACAATCCGATTAGACGGCAGCAGACGCGCCACGGATGTCGGCTGCGAGCCATATCCTGTAGTCTCGAGCGAAGCACAAAGAGAGTCACGTGGACTCCAGCCCGGAAGGCGAGACGGATCAACGGCACCCAGTTTGGTCATCAGTGACTTCATTTCCCGTTGCCAAGTCAACTTCTGTCCACCTCCAGCCTTGCGCCATCCTACACCTGGCAGACTAAACAAGGCCCTCCTAGGTAAACGGTGACCAGGCATACGTAGCACGTGCCCGAGCCAACGCAACTTATTCATTGTTCTAGGGAGCTAGCATGATTATCACTATCAAGTACTCGCGTACCCACATCATCGTTGCGGGCACACTGGTGTCATACGACAACAGCAATGCTTCTCAGACAACGATGATCAAATGCTTGAAGGCGCCTCAGATCTTCAGACCGAAGGGGCCAAGTCTCACTACATACAGCAGCACTGTGGCCTTGTATACACGGTCTTTCAGACGGAGGGAAACTCCCTTCTGCCACCAAAGATGCTGCAGGTTAAAGAAGGTGGCTCTGGCCTTTACCATGCGTGAGCTGACGTTAGTTTCTATGCGCCCATCGGTGCTGATGCAGCTGCCAAGATAAGTGAAATGATCAACCACCTCGAATTCCTTGTCAGCAAGCGTCAAGGGGTCATCAAGTGGCTGGTGGTCCTGCAGCAACATTTTGTAGGTGCGAAATGCATAATAAATAATGGGACTACTTTAGAAAGACTATCAAGGATTGAATGGGTCGCCCCAACATCGTCGAAAAGCAAGACGATATCGTCCGCATAATCAACCAACCTTTCACCAGGCAGCACTTCAACGCCTACATCGTGAGATTCCCCAAGGGAACACTCCATGATAAAATTCACGACGAAATTGAGCAAAAATGGGGAAATCGTACAACCCTGACGAACGCCACTTGTGGTCGGAAAGCTATCCGATAGGACACCATAGACCCTGACGCGGCCTGTAGTGTTCGAGTATAGAGCACGAAGGATGTTCACATATTTCGCGGGAACACCTTTCCGCGCAAGTATTTCGAACAAAATGCATCGATCGACTGAATAGAACGCACTTTTGAAATCGAGGAACACAGCTATTGTCGGTCTGCGGTATGCGTGGCGCTGCTCTAGCACTTGCCGCAGAGTGAATATATGGTCTATATAATCACGTCCTGGGCGGAAACCTGCCTGCTCTTCCCTAATCCGAGATTCCCGTTCCATAGCGAAGCGACGAATGAGAATCGAGGCCAGTAATTTTGTCACAACTGGCGTTAGGCTAATACCTATGTGGTCTCTGATTGTCTCACTGACGCCTGGTTACTTAGGACCAGTGGTGCGGATCAGCTGGAAGAGTTTGTGGTAATTGCCTACTGCTCCTACTTCTATTTCTTAAGCCATACTGGTCCACCAGGCTTCCATGTCAGCACGTAGGCTCCACTAATGTTCGCGGCTAGTAGCCCGTCTGGTCACGTTGTGCTCAGAGCCAGCCGGGAGGTTTCTTCTGGATACCAACTGGTTCACCGACCTCTCGGATATCCACTGACTGGTGCGGTGAAGATGGATGGCGTCACAAGCAGATGCTCCTGCGTTCTGAATGGCAGCCGAAATCTTATTGCACTGAAGCTCAGTGGTATTAGAACAAGAAAGCGAAAGTTCGGTACGCAATGTCTTTTGATAGGCTTGCCTGAGCAAGGGCTGTGATAATTTCCCAGTTGCCAATCGGAGGAGAGGCTTAGTGCGCCTCCCGGTAACGTTCATGGAGAAAAGACAGCGTACTAAGGTATGCTCAGAGTGGACGCAGAAATTCTATTACGAGCGGCAATCCAGGATGGAACCACGCCATCTGTAACTTACGCATATTTGGTCAAGTTAGGTCTACCATTGGATGGCTACAGGAGGACGCCAAGTGGCACTTCGGCGCCCACTGTGTCTAAAAGCAGTTCTACTAAGAAAGAACTGGTGCGCTGCACACATTTGTAGCAGACTTTCGCTGTTATCAGTCCGTTCGGCGTTAAGCTCATCTTTACCACGCAGTTGGACCTCTGAAGAGCTCATACGTCCTACTTGTCCGTTCCTATCCCCTATGAGAACTATAATATCTGAACTAGTAGCACTGAGTAGTAGCGCGTTCAGTTCGCGACAGAATGTACCTGACAGCAGTTGAACTGCAGTCGGTAGAAGCATAAGCGGATAACGCAAAAACAGGATTTAATACTACTTCGTGAATCAACCTTAACTGATATCGTCAAACGTGCTGCAAATTAACGGCTGTCCACCGGAATCCAATTAACTAACGATGGCTCAGGCTTGGAGATTAGAATGATCCCTCCACCAGCTTGACGTGTGAGTGTTGCATCGGCGTCGCCGGATGCGTGCAACCAATAACCAGAGGATAAATCGGGTGCAGTTAATTCAACAACCCCTTAGGGCCAGTGATCCTAGTTTCGGACACACAAGACACATCAATACCCAGTGTGTCAAAGGTGCGTGCGAGTGCAGCCTGTTGACCTATTTGTCTTAGAGTGCGAACGTTGAAGGCCGCCAGGGAAACGGGACAGCGTGGCCTTATAAGAGACTGTTGCCGATAGGCGTCCGATGGATGTTGTGGGAAGGTGGCTGCAGATGGTTCGAGTCCAGTTGCACTTCGGTTGCTGTCAATTAAGCTGGGAATTATAGAAGGAAGGTTAGTAATGGGGGTCGGGATGGGAGTAAGAAAAACAGGTGGAAAAGAAAGGAGGCGCCAGCAGTAGCATGTTTTCACTTATCCGCCCTGCTGTATGCAGCGGATAAGGCGAGCTTTGATAATCTGCGCGACGGCCGATGCAGTGTATTTGAAGAAAAAGTCATGGTTGTATGTGGGCTGAGATACTGCCAGGGCACCCAGACCTAGGCAGGTGGACGATTAGGGTCCTCAACCAAAGCCTTTGGCTCAAAAGCCTGTCCACAATGTAGCGGGGAGGTGGCAATGATTTAGTTTTACAGAAATGGACGCCATTCCATTTCAAACCCCCAACCTGGAGGGTCAACAGACTCAGTTTGTCTGACCTCTCACCATTGACCAACCTAGTAGGAATAGCTCTCAAGGTGCTCGGAGGCACCACCCAGTATAGCTCAATGGGTCACGGAGGTACGCAAACCGTCGCACAACATTAAGGTTCAGTCTCGTTGCGACGGGATTGCAAACGAGGGGTGCAGACCACTCGGGCGCCGGATGACCATGGCATGCAAAACACGAACTGAATTAGAGAGAGCAGAATTAAGCGGATGGTGGTAAAGATTGGCTAGCAGATGATTACACACTTAGAAAGCAAAGGCACGTCCCTACCAGTGATCCAGTGATTCAGAAGTCTGATTTGTAATCCAAAGATCACCGGTTCGAGCCTGTTTATGTGTAGGCGACCTCTCAGTATCCCTAGGTGGTACTCGACTGGCGGTGATTTAGTGTGGCAGTGAACCGTCGGTACGACGTGCGGCGTAATGCTGGGGCCTTACGTACAGGTGACGTCCAGGGTCGACGTGGTATTTGAAAGATGAAAAGACGATACGGGTAACAACGGCCCATTCGCAGTTTGTATGAATTTGAGCAGTGCTCACGCAAGTGAAGAGTATAAAAATGAGAAGGATGCGAGGCGATTGAGCTGCATCCTATTTCGCTGATGAACCACAGACTAGGGGCAGCGTTGCAACTAAGGCCGTGAACAGCACCATGGGTAGCAATGCTCAGCGATGTGCGACAGTCAGTACCTGTAGTGATGCCGGTATATAGTTAGGCGTCCAAACGACATCGATCCCATACTAAGCAAACTCCAATGAACTGCGCCGGACAGAGTGAAAAACGCGACAAAAGTGGCCACTCATTCAGGCATACTGCAATCGCTTTATATGTACACTTCGCGCTTATTACTCGTTTCCTATA